CACACACACACACACACACACACAGACAAAAAAAGGAAGACTGCAGGCAGGCTCAAGAGAGATGACTTTTAAGGATAAAGCACAGAATACCTGAATGAACGTGGGCCATCTTAAGAGTGAGAAACAAGTGTTTGGGTTTCCTGATTCTTCTTTTAAAGGGAACTCAGTGGAGAGTAAGCATGGGAAGATATATAAAAATGCTATCAGTCTGGTGATGTGGTCTTCATTATCTGATCAGTAGATAGTACTGGAAGTTCACTAAGTTATAGTTTTTTTCAGTGTCATATCACTCTTTACTTAATCTATTAGTGGGGGAAGGAGTAATTAACAGTACCCACATAGATTTACAGATTTCCCAAGAATTTGGGAGTGATTGACCTGGGAGAAAGACTGACCTAGGAGTGATAGGCCTGGAAAAATATAAAATTTTAAAATTGAAATTTTATTCTCTTGTTCTTTCTTTATGTCTTCTTTCTACTTATGTTCTATTTCCTCTATCCTACCTCAATATAGTATGTTTTATTGATACAAATATTTTAACTTTTTATAAAGTTTTATAAATCTTATAGTCCTGACATAATGCTGTATCGTTATCATCATTATTTTTTCATGATTTATGTCTTAACATATTGTAAAGGTAACTAAACTGTTTTGCTCAAATGTTGAACAATCTATGTAGTAATAATACATTATGTATTGTTTGTAGTTATTTGTAGTTATTTTTTGGTACTGAGTATTGAACCTAGGGGTTAGCCACTGAGCCACATCCCAAACCTTTTTAATTTTCTATTTTGAGACAGGGCCTTGCTAAATTGCTTAGGGCTCTGGAAATACTGAGGATTCTGTGCACCCCAGAAGTCAAAACAAACAGTTGGACACTAATCAGCTCTGTTGAAAGGGCAAGAATTTTACTTCCACGTGCAGAATGGCACACAGCAATCAAAACCAAAGCAGGAGCCGGGAGCAGACAGTCTGCTAGGCCTCTATCCCTGATGGAAGAGTACTAGGTTATTGCCCATAAATTAGGACCGATGTTACAGTCTTTGGCAGGAAACATTAAGCTATTAAGGAAAGAGGGTATTTGACTACCCTCTTACATTGGTCAGAGCCTACTTCAATATCTCCTTTTGTGTTATTTAAAGAAATATACCTCTAGTTGTAGAACCCACCCACTTTAGTTCCCTTGTGGAAGGAAAGTCCCCATAGATTGAGGGCCTTTTGGCATGTTCACAGTTTATCTCTTTTGGTCAGCTCAGGCTCCATCCTTCTCATCTCCTGTCTGTCAAGGGGCTGTAAATCTTTACACTCAGTGTTACCTGATTGTAACTTTCCATCCTGCTTTCCCCTCCAGCTGCCTTTCTTACATCCCAAGTCATTTTACATTTAAAGCTAAATATTGTATTTTGAAAATGGATCACCTGGATTTTCTGTTTCTCAGAGGGCTTCACTAAGTTGCTGAGATTGGTCTAGAATTTGCAATCTTCCTGACTTAGCCTCCCAAATCACTGAGATTACAGGCATGCTCCACCATGCCCTTCTTGTAGTCATTTTAGATTGCATGAACCATATCCCTTTAGTTAATAAATTGAAATCTTGTTTTATTCATTGTTCATATGCAGATAAATTTAAAATTAAAAATTTCAGTATATGTATAAGATTCTCTCAGTTATACTGCTTTACAACTTGTCTTGCAAAATGTATTTGGGATATGATACTTACATGTTCTTAATTCTTGAATAAACTTTATTTCTTGTAATCCCACATTCAAAATTTTTACCATTCTGTGGAATAAACCCCCAATTTTTAAAATATCTTTATTTATTTATTTTTATGTGATGCTGAGGATCGAACCCAAGGCCTTACAAGGGAGAGGCAAGCACTCTACTACTGAGCAACAACCCCAGCCCTAAACCTCAAATTCTGAAGATATTGTAAAATGTGATACTGAGTTTTCTACCCAAATGGTAATTCACCTTAGTTTGCATAAGACAAAGACTCCAGCTAACAGATTATTAATGCAAATTTTGAATGGATCTACTTTTACAAAAAAAATTGGTTTTCTCTAGATAAAATTGGTAGTGCTAAAGAAATTATGTTTATTAGATTAAATCTACTATAGATAGTAGATTTGCTTTGCTCTTATTAATGCTTCGTATTTTCTTTGTCCAAATCCTTAATGCTGGACTTAGTATAAGGACTACATTTCTAACCCTCTTATTGCTTAAATTTGGCTAAAAAGGGGGTCTTTTGACACTGACTCATAATTTGTCACTTCCCCTCTGATAAGGGATCAATCGTATCAAAGAACTGGACAAATCTTCAACTATGGGGGACCACCTGTTACTGGGCATGAGCCCTGCTATGAAACTAAGGCAGCCACAGAGCCCCCCCCCTTCACCCTTATTCTTGTGATCATGCCAGAAAGATTTCAGACGTGTGAGTTTATTAGAACGGAAAATGAGAGCACTCTGAAGGGAGAGAGTGAGTCCTCTCAAGAGAGGAGAAGGATGGTGTGAGCTTCCTCTTCTTCTGTCCCTGTGTTTCCAAAGATAGAGATTTAAGACAGAAAATGGCTCCTCTATCTTCCTTCAATGCTGACTTTAAATAAATCTGTTTTCTTTTTACTAAATTTGTGTGCCCTCCAGTTTCATTGGAGGTCCCAGGGAAGTTTCCCAAGAGCCCCACCCAAGCCCACCTCTTGAACTTTCGCTTGACAGCATAGGAACTATAGACTGCCTCAAAGAGAGGTTGACGTGGCACTCAGAGTTGTTTTTCAGGCAATTGAATCCACCTGTTTCTGTCTCAATTTCCTACCTCCTTAATCGGCGAGTCAACCTTTGAATAACCTCAGTGAGCTTTCTTTGTGAGCATCTTGATATATTGGTTGCCAGGATAATTGGGGTTTGTGATAGTTTCAGTGATAGGTGAGGGTCCAGGCTATCTGGTAGGGTGTGACAACAGTCTATCTTAGTGGGGTGTAATTATGGCTTGGGGAGACTTTGAACTACCTGTCTGCCTGTCAGATAAGGTTCCCTGTGGCTTTCAGTCACCCCTAGTTGTCCTTTCCCTGCTCATCCATTCATGGTTGGCTAGCTACCTAACACAACCACTTGAGAAATAATCACAATGTCTTCAGCAGAAGTCAGTCAGAAATGGGGGGATATTGCACACAGTTGCTTGTCAAAGTCACCAAAATAACAGAGCTGGGAGGTTATAGAAAAAGTTCTTATGCATGATTATCAAAATTCTTCCCTAGGTGGAGTTACTAACTGTTTCAGACTTCTTTGGCAGGTTTATATTAGTACCTTCAGGAATAAGCATCTGGCTCTTATGCTTCAGATGCCCTTGGTGGAATCTATACACTGATGCAGCAATAAAGAGCCAGCCAGAGGATAGATGCCCCAATTCCTCCAAAATTAAGGAATGAAACAAACAGGGGGATTTATGATGAAAAGCTCCAAATTGTTTTTGATCCCAAAGATGGAGAAATATCCTATATGCTTGTAAGAAAGGATTTAATATCACAGAATGTAATTTGTCATAAAACACATGTATACATACATACTATAAAACCGTATGTTTGGGAAATAAAAAAGATAATCTTAGACTATATATGAAATGAATGTCTGAGAGAAGCCAGAAAATCTTTATTTTTATTTTTTTGGTAGTGCTGGGCATCAAATTTAGGGTATATTAGTCAAGTGCTCTACTACTGAGATATACCCCAGCCTAGAACATCTTTTGAAAAAACAATAATAATAAGGAAAACGACCTCCCAGTTATCAAGGAATGTACCAACACACAGAATGGAGGAATTCCAGTTCTTTAGCACAGTAGGGTAAATATTAGTTATAACAATCTATGATATATTTTAAAATGACTAGAAGGGTATGAAATTCCCAACACTTAAAAGTAATTAATGTTTGAAGAAATGGAAATGCTTTTTACCCTGACTTAATTATTACACATTGTATACATGTATTAAATTACTATAATATACTACATAAAGATATATAGATATTATGTATTAAGAAAACCATTATATTTAAATCATTATTTTATGTAAATAAGATAAATAATGGAAAAGAATAAAGAATTCAGAATATATCCAGAAATAGACTCCAGAGAACTCCATGTCTATATTTAGATCTAGCTATCTACCTATCACTTAAGTAGGAAAAGGATGAATTATTTAATAAATACCATCTACAATAGAGTTTAAGTAATATTGAACATAAAAAGTAGGCTTTTGAGGATTACTCCAGGAGAAAAACAAGCAGTTGTAATTCTGTTTTTAATGGAAAATACACAACTTATGAATTACCTTTATGAAACCAAGCTGTTTGCAAATTGGTGAATATCTTAGCAAAAGCTCATATGTAATCATGAAATATGGAAGTGTTATGATTTGACTTGGTCATGGAATTGGCTCCTATAATCAACTGGAATTATTTTCCTTTAATTCTCACTGCTGTCATTGAGACCATCCTGAGAATCTCTAGTACACTGAAGTCCCCAGCCTTCTAAGGTGGGGGAGATAGAGAGGTTCTCTATAGTTGGTGATCACAATTGCTACGCTATTCTTGCCAGAGGGCTTGCTCCAAGTTTTTACCTGATGTTTCCAAACCTAAATAGGAACCACAGATTTTAGGAAAGTGGAAAAAATAAAGGTAACACTTATTGAGCATTTACCATGTGCCAAGTCATTTAATCATTACAATAATGATGAAGCAGGTATTCCATGTGAAGAAACAGACTCTGAGAAGTGATAAGCAATTTTCCTTCTCTAGTATTAAGTGAGCAGTGGAGCTAACTTTTAAAAACTTGAACCCTACTTTGCCATTTTTTAAACTTTTATTTAAGTATAACATATACTAAGTTGCAGATAAATCACAAGCATTTGTTGTTGCTTTTTCACAAGGTGAACTCAACCTGTGAAACCAGCTCATAAATCGAAAAAACAGCATTAACAAACCTCAGAGGCTACCTCAAGTGCATGTGTTGTTCATTATTCCCCAGGGAAACCACTCTTCCAAGCCTTGGCACAGAAAGAGAGTAGTTGGGATGACTTTAGTTTTTGAATTTTTTTGAACTTTATGCAAACAGAATCAGAGAATGTGCTTTTTTTTCTGTCTGGCTTCTGTCTTTCAGCAATATGTTTGAACAGTTGTTTGATAATGTGATATGGAGTCAAGTTTGCTCTGTAAGGTATCTCATTGTATTAACATGCCACAATTTACATATTTACTATTAATGAACATTTGGATAGTTTCCAGTTTTTAGCTATTATGAATAGTACTGCTATGAACATTCTTGTGCATGCCTGTCTTTTAGTGCACAAGTGCACACCTTTCTGTTGGTTATGTATTTAGGTGTCTAATTGCTATATTGTGGGATTTGCATTAGAAGTCTTGAATCTCTGATGATGTTCTTACAGTTTTCCAAAGTGGTTATATAAATGTACACTCACTGACCATGTAAGGAATTTTCAAAGTCCACATTTATGCTTAGGAAGGCAAATTTTTGAAACCAGGTTTCTGTCTCCATTGTTCAATGCTCTTTTTATTTAAATTTTATTTAAAAGTAAGACCTTGATAATGATTCTCTTTTATAAATTCCACAATTCTTTCCAAGATTTTCCTTCTTTGTTCATTAAATAAGTTTCCTTTTTTATACAGAAAAACATATCTCTGCTTAATAGAACTTAGTAGGGTTAAGAGTGTATCAGAGGCGTCATGTAAATATTCATTTTCACTGAACCCAGCATCTTCTATTTTTTCTGCATGGGTGAAAAGAATAGCAGTGTAATTCTTCCAAGTATCTCCCAGAAGTTCCTGAAAGAGAAAAGAAGTTAAATGGCTATTTGCTTTGGAATCTATTCCTCAAAAATGAGCAAAGGAGTTATGAAGTTCCAATATAGTGAGCCAACAGATCTATGTGCCATTATATTTCTGAAAGCTGATACATGTAATGGGAAGCTGATATGAGGTCCAGTATTATAAGCAAATAGAGGGAGATGGATGAGCATTCAAGAGAAAAAAAACTTTTGTTCTCTTTTTATTTATTGTTATAATTTATCCATATTATAAATTTGATATTAAATAGTATCTTATTGTGTTGCATGTTGAATAATTATAACATTCAGTAATCATTTATACTTGTCTGGCAACCTGACTTTGTTAGAGCCACTAAATTCCTTTGAAGTCAGAGGACCTTGACTAGAGAATTGTTTTATACAATCCCCACCAGATTTTGTAATTTTAAGCCTCATATATAAGATTTTTATTGATAAAAAAATCCTTTAAAATTTTTATATGTGTGTATATGTATATATATATTAAGTCTGTACATATACATATGTATATATATTAAAGGATATGGTGTTATCCCTAAAAAAGTTTACATGGGGCTTAAAATTACATAATCTGGTTATACTCTGTTGATTAATCAGATGACATATAAAGGAAAAGCTAAGATCAAAATACATTTGGTGATTTGGAAAAACTACAAAGTGTTACTGTAATCCTCATCATCCTCAGTCCACATGCCTAAAATCAAACACATTGAAGGACTTCTAATGTGGTTGAAAAAAACATCAAAGACTGGTGTTCCTTTGTTTAGTAATATGTGGAAGTTAGTTATGTAATAAATTCTTGTTTGATTAGTGAAAATAAGCTGATATAAAGCAGAAGTAATTGCATGTGGCAAATTATTCACATAATATGAAAGGCATCTAGAAATAACCATTTAACTTTTTTTTAATGTTTCCAAAGATATGTGAAATCATGACAATGTGACAAATAAGAATTTCTCCATTCCTAACACTCCCATTACCAAAACACTTCAAAGGTGCTACCAGTTTATAACAGCAAGAAAATGCAAAATACCTAGGAATAATATAACAAGAAAAAGGCAGAACCTCTGGTAATCAGAAGAAAGAAAGAAGGGTAAACAACTAACATTCAGTGCTAAGTACTTTACACGTACTATCTCTTTTGAAGTTCAACATTATTCTTTGTGGGAGATAATCTGTTATTTTCTCCATTATGATATGAAGAAATTGACATACAGAGATGTGGAGCAACATATTAGTAAAAACTCTAGTGTAAAAATTGTTAAAAAATGGAAAGATAGACTGGTAAACTATTGTCAATGTACATAACAAATATAGGATTAGTGTTTATGGTATTGAAAAATTGAAAGAAGAAAAGAATAAGAAGTGAAGAAGGAAAAAGAGATTAAGGAAGGAATAAAGACATGTAAATATAATATGAAAATACTATAGAAATGTGCAAGAAAGTATTTAAAATTAGAAACACTTCAAAAAATTACCAATTACGACTCCTGATACAGTCTGGCTTTTATCAGAGCCATTTATTTAATTCATTCCTCTCTAAAACTTGATCATGAACACTTTGAAGGCCATGTCCATGTCACTCCTGTATCAGCCAGAGATGCTAGCACATGGTAAACTTCCAGTAAATATCTGTTGAATAAATTTGGCATTTAGAATCTCATCATCATCTCAGAAGGTTTAGGGCTTTGTTTATTTATTTTGAGGGTCTAGTTGTGAGGTTTAATTAATCTTTGGGACACAAGGTTGTAATTTCCTCTAAAGTCTTCCTTTGCTTCTACTATTCTTTGTGATGGATTTGCCTATAATCTGTACTTTCTCTTTTGTATTCAGAGCAACTCTCCCAGGGAATAGTTTCAACATTTTCCCTTGCATCTATTCAAAGTTTGTTTTTCTATGTTGTACAATGTTATATATTTCTTTCTTTTAAAAATGCTTGTTTAGCTGGGTGTGGTAGTTCATACCTGTAATCCCAGCAGCTCAGGAGGCTGAGGCAAGAGGATCACAAATTCAAACCAGCCTTAGCAATTTATTTTTTTATTTTTAAGAGTTACAATAAAAGTCTTTATTTAGGTTTGGTCAGTACAGGTAAGATATACTGAAGCCACTGAGCAATATGCATTAACAGGAAACAACAGTCCATAAAAATTGAGTTAACTATGCACACAAATACCTTAAATATTCAGTCACCTAAAGAGAAAATGCACAGATGTATGGTGAAAAAAAACTGTATCTAACACTGAAACTACTATGGGATTCCATCAACAAGTCCAACTTTTAGAGATAAAAGTCTACAGTACTGGGCAAACTTGACAGTCATAAACCCACATCTACTCTAACAAGTCTGAATGGTGCTGAAGTATATAACAGCATGAGGAAGAATGCTCTTACACAGCTTGGGTTCTAGAGACACACATTTATACAGACATCATTGTGTTATACTTAAGGAAAGATTTCCATTTACAACTTCAGCCTTGGCAATTTAGCAAAGCCCTAAGCAACTTAGAAAGATCCTGTATCCAAAAAAAAAAAAAAAAAAAAAGGCAGGAGATGTGGCTCAGTGTTTAAGAGCCCCTGGGTTCAAGTCCCAGTACCAATTCCCCCCACCACCAAAATAAAAGCTCTGTTTCAGGAAAATCTACATTCAATTTCCAAGGTCAATACATCAGGGAATATTATTTCAACTAAAAGATTCTACAGAATAACTTTTGCAAGTACTTAAACTTACATTCTTTTTTTTTTTTTTTTTTTTGTACTGGGGATTGAACTTAGTGGCGCTTAACCACTGAGCCACATCCCCAGCCCTGTTTTACATTTTATTTAGAGACAGGGTCTTGCTGGGTTGCTTAGGGCCTCACTAAGTTGCTGAGTCTGGCTTTGAACTCACAATCTTCCTGCCTCAGCCTCCCAAGGCTCTGGGATTACAGGCATGCACCACCGCACCTGACTTATATATTTTTATGTTCCTTTAATACACAAATGTATTAGCCCAACTTTTAAAGAACATAATTCTTGTGTAAATCTAAGAATCCATAAGATATTACCATTCCAGTTCATCTAATGGTGGCATAACGATAGCGGTAGTCTAAGAACTTGTCATGTATTCAATGCATTTTAACAGATCTTTAGTGGAGTCACAGATTTGCAAAGTAAATGAAGAATGGTGTTATGTGTTGAATTGTGTCCTCTCCCAAATTCATATGTTGAATAAAACTCCCACTTCCTCAGAATGTGACCTCCCTTATTTGGAAATGAGATCATTGCAGATATAATTAGTTAAATATTCTAATATGATTGGTATCCTTATAAAACAGAGAAATTTGGACGAAGATGCAAATATAGGGAATGTGATCGTGAAAATGGTCAAGCCAAGCAGAGGGCCTGGAACAGATCTTGCATTCACAGCACTTTGTAGGAACCAACCTTGCTAACATCTTGATTTCAGAGTTGTAGCCTCCACAATTGAGAGACAATACCTATCTGTTAAGACACCCTGTTTGTGGTACTTTGTTACAGCAGCCCTAACCAACTAATACCAGTGTTTAAAACAATTACTCAAATGCTACAAATGTCAGATGTAGGCTCTGTCAATAAAAAAAAAAAATCTGGGCCATTTGCCTCAGAATAATCTGGGAGGCTTGCACGAAATGCATCATAATCCTTATGGAAATTGAAGTTTAAAAAGCACTACAGATGTTTTCTTCCTTCTGCACATATGTATTAAGGGTCTGCTTTGTTCTAGGCATGTTCTATAGGGTAGGACACAATGTAGAACAAGACAAATACATTTTTTGTTCAATACCTAGTAGGGATTCTTGTGTAATTACTAAACTTAGAGGGGAAAAAGAAAAGCAGATGGGAAAGAAATACTTTCAATTTGTTTGCACTTGTCAGTGTTGTGATATAAATTATGTTGATGCTATACAGGTAGATATTTAGCACAATCTAAGGTAGAGGTGGGAAGCAAAGATAAAGGGTAGAGAATAGAAGATCAGGAAAAGTTTCTTGCATGAAACAAAGCCTTGAGCTGAATCTTAAAAATGCATAGGAATTGATAAGGGAATCAACATAAGAAGCCTGATTGGGGATTGTACAATATGGGGATTTTATTTCTATATAATTATAGCTATTTATCTTTGATGATTCTTTGAAAGTTTCTCAAGTTTAGAACCAGATCAGATACTCAAATCAGTTCACTACCAACATAATCATACTGATGGTTATGATACTGAAATGCATACAAAGTTAATAAATAGCCACTGACCTTCACCTATGAGCACTATCTAAACTTATCCCATAGATGTTGATTGGTTGATACTTGGACCATACTTGTCATTAAATATTTTTCAAATATCACCATAGTAAAAATTCATGCTAAATAAACTGTACAACAGTCTTTTCCTGAGATATACACCATAACATAGAGTTCTTGTCTTGCTAAGTTAGTACTTACTGAAGTAAATGATATCATTTTTATAGTATTCTGTTGGCTTCTGTTTTTTTTTTGTTTTTGTTTTTGTTTTTTGCATAGTAACAATACACTCTCTGTTGCCACCAGACATTTCTTATTCTTTAAACCATTGTCTCATTCAGGGAAATCGAGTTAGAACATCTATGCATGACAGACTCCTAAACTCTACACCACTTTACAGACCCATGTGTTCAGCCACTGGGAAGTTTTTGCATGTTGATAATTATTTATGAAAGGATGCTCATGTCCCAAACTGTGAGAGAAATTGCGCTTTTGAATTACTGCCAAAAACAGAACAGAATGGTTGATTTAGCTTTTAATCTTTAGATTGATTTTTGGCCAGAAAATAGCTGAATATTTGAAAGTCGTGTCACTTGGTGCAGAATCATCATGCAAGTGGCCAAACATGTTCTCAATGGACCCAGAGAAAGAATAATCACAGTTGATTGATGCCTCCCCCCACCAAATCCAAGAGGAAGATAAGTTGCTGTGAGTTATCTGGTGTTAATAATTGAAACACAGTACCAAGCTAGGTAGAAATCTTACATTCACAAACTGTTTGGTTTTAGAGTGCTAATGGGTCTGAGTCCATCTAGTCCTTTTGGGACAACTAGTTAGAATCTAAACTTTGTTTTCCAAGAATTATATTAGTTTTCCCAGGACCTCACCAGCCCTGCCCCATTTGTTTGTGGTTGATGAAATCATAGCATCTGGACTTTTTAGGGGGAAACTTTGTAAAAAGCCAACTATTACATCAACTGAGAAAAAAAAATTATCATGGAACAGGAGGACAATAAGGACCATTTTTTATATTTTATGATATTCCCTTACTCTCATTCCTCTTTAAAGTGCCACATTTTCCTTCTCGGAGAGCCAAGGCTGAATGATAAGACCTCATTAGATCAGATTCGGAGAGCACGCAACCTTAGACAGCCTCCATCCTCATTGCCTCATTTTACAGATGAGAATATTGAGGTTGTGCGATGTTAGACAGCTTAGCCTAAGCCACATGGCTCATCATTGGTGGGCCTGGTCCCATAGCAAAGGTTCCCCTGACTGTTGAGCTCATATTCTTCCCACTAAACTAGTACATTTTTTTTCCTAGATTTTTAAAAATTTATAAATTAGAGTCATTTAGATTGTATTTCATTGTTATTTTCTTTTGAAGTCTATTGAAATAAAACTTAACAAAATTTATTTCTACAAATAATATGTCCTAATATTAGGATAAAACAAATACCAACACTAAAGTAATAGTGACCAGAGGTAAAATTTACTGTACACTTGCCATGTGCCAGTATCTCAGCTATGACATTAATCCCCAAAGTAACCTAGTGAAACGAATACTGAAATCATTCCAAATTTACCAATGGCATTTAAAGAAATTACTTGCCCAAGGCCACAAGTAAGTAACTAAGTAGAAACTTGAACACAAATATAACTTACTTAGAATCCACACTCTTATCCTCCAGTTTTCCACTCATATCTATGGTTCATTTGAATAAGTGCTTTCAAAATCTGGTAAAAACAATAGTAATAGTAATACTTTGTCATTTTCTATGAATCTACTGTGTTAGGCACAGCACTAAGCATGTCACATTTATTAAATCTAATGCTCTGAACTCTTTAATAGGTAAAATTATCCCCATTTTGCAAGTTAGAAACTAAAATCATAAAGTCTTATTACTACATTAGGCTTGTTTTTAATTAAATTTCTATTGAACAGCTAAGCCCATGGTCTTTGGTATATTTAGGCACTAATTGGTCTGAGACTTTTGTATTTGCATTTAGCTATTTGTGGACTACATTAACAGTTAAGGCGTTGATTATGAAACAAAAATATGTACTAAAGCCTGTTTGTACACAGTACTAATGGATGATACCATGACAGTGGGAAGAATATGCACTTTGGTCAATTCCTAGGTTCAATTCCTAAAGTGCCTTGGCTGTGTGCTAGCTCTTTCCTTGAGGTGACTTTATTATATCTTCTGTGACCCATTATTTGTGGATTTTGCTTTTAACATTCAAATAACATTCCCAGAAACTTTCAGATGATTCCTTCCCTTTACTTCCCAATTTTGGGGAGATGACTCACTGACTTCTCCTTCATTTTAATATAAATTAATAAAAGGCCTAATATAAATAAAGAAAAAGAGATCATTTGGGGAAATGTTTCCATTGTCACAGCTGGCAGTCTAGAACCCTTTTGTAAAATATTAGAAACAATTGGGAAGAATATTCAAGAAGACAAGGGGGAGGCCCAGGAAAGGAGAGACCAATTATCTGGCTCTGGCCTTGTAAAACCTTTTCGTGACAGTCACCAGCACCCCTGGGAAGTGTAAAGGAAAAAGAAGAAGGCAGATGCTTTATTCTTATCAGACAAAAGAGAAATCCAGGATATGTGTGAACCCAAAGACCTTAACAGCTCCTTGCTCCTTCCTAACAGTTGCTGGTCCTGTTGAATATTTAGATATCTGGCAGCTGTTCCAGACGTGTGAGCACATACAGATGGCTGCCACCAGGAGCTGAGGCACCTTCAGAAAGAAAATCAGAAACCTCCAGCTCATGCTTTGGAGACCATCAACCAAAGACCCTGATGGAAACCAAAACAGATCTGCAGTGCCTCCCAAGTCTCATGAGACACTTTGAGGATTACTAAGTCTTGGTTGCTGAGTTTACACAGGACACAAAAGATTTTTATTCTGGAAAAAAAGGCTGCCTCTGAGCTTTGCCCTTCCATCTCCTCTCTATCTTCAACTTCTGAATTGGACAGTGACTTACGGAAGGTAGATGCTGGATACTATCCTAAAAGACCAGAGATGGGTATGAATTAAATTAACTAGAATAAAAATTAGGGATTATAATATTATTCTAGAGTCTAAAGTCATAAAATCTATATTTAAAATGTATATCACTGAAAATAACTTTTGGGCTCAGCATAGGTACATCAGGAAAAATTAGTAGGAAATATGGAGAGTGTTAGGGTAGCTTTTGAGAAATAGCTTGTACATTTACTGAATTACATTCCTCTATAATTTAAGCTAAATGTTTATTTAGCAATAGCTTTAAATGAATTCTGAAAATGGTTTAAAATTACACTGATGTAATGGATGCAGGTTTCCCATCACTTGATTTCTACCAGAAATACCATTTGAAATGCAGGATTTAATAGTCTGGGGAGGTTTATGGGCTGTCTTAGATTCCATATTATGTCTTAATTGCAATCATCTTTTCTTCTTTAGTTTTGTACAGCATGTCCTTGATTTTACAGGAGTTGGATGATGAGGGTTATTTATTTTTTTCTTGCTATTGTCACCTTAATTTTTTCCGCTAGTTTCTTGTGATTACACATATGGCTTCTTTTTTTTTTTCAATTTTAGAAACATGCACAATTACTGAAAAACAAAACGTGCGTCTGTCATTTAAAACAATCTTTTGTCTTTACTAGTAAAGAGAAAAAAAACATCATTAAAGCAAACTATCCCATCTTTCTGGGTATAACAGGGCCTATACTGGCATAGCCTGAGATTGGATCAAAAGAAAATTAGCATTTATACAAATACCTGAATGGAAAATATATATTCTCTATTTTCAATTTAGTTTACCTGCAGAGCTAGCAGACATGGCTTCAGTGAGCTCAGTAAGTCAGTGATCTTAGTAAGTGATATTAGTGAAGTCCAGCACTTAGTGTGGGTGGATCCCGAGTAAGGAATGGAGAGATTGAATAGAATGGAACAGTTCAATGAATAGTTTCCAGGAATTGTTAGTAATAGTAGACATAAGGCTTGCTCTTATATGCTGTACAAAGTTAGAATAAAATAAATATGTATGTTCCTTCTGTCTCCTAGCTGTGGCCATAATG